ACAGGCCGAGCGGCCACCTGACCGCGGATGAAGAGCTCGAAGTCGAAGAAGGCGCCGCGCATCAGCCGCTGGCGCATCAGCCACCGAATGACATGGAGCGGCGAAACCAACAATTGAAAAGCGCTACATCCACAACGCAACATAACGTTGCCATTAGCAACCGAAGCAAACGTTGAGCAAGGTCATTTGCTCGAAAAGTGTAACAAAACAGAATGTTGAGAAGGGTCCTTGAAAGCACTAGGAGCAACAAAGTCCACAGTCTTGGCAGGGTCAGATTGTGGTTTTGCTATCATCTTGTGGTCTGCTTGTCTTTAATTTCTGTGATACCGTTTTTCCTTTCAAAGTTGTTCCGCTTCCTGGCTGCAATCCAGAGCAAGAATGACCGAAGGGTTTCCGAAAACTGCTTCTGGAGGTGGTCCAAAACATAAACCCCGGTAACAAGGCAAGGGCAACCGCACGCAACCAAACAATTTGCGTCACATGTTTCTTTATTGGGCCAACCCTGTAGTTGACGCATCATATTACACGGTAATAGTATGTCAACATCAAACATCTCACTATCTCTTTGAGGAGCTCATATTATCTGCCTCAGCTGCTGCAGGGTACTGCGGGCACGACAAACCTGGACTAGCAAGCCTAGACAGAGAGAGAGGGAGAGATGTGAGGGACTCTAGCCCAGCATACGCCAGCTTTTGCGAGCACGGCCAGTTCGGCAAGGTTGCTCTTACAGCCCTCGCTCAGCAGTTGTCAGCTTAGCTGTAAACAAAAAGCTAGCACGTGGGTGACAGGTGACATATTTATCGCTTGCGCCGGCTTCTGCGAGCACGGCCACTTCAGCAAGGTTGCTCTGACAGCCCCCGCTCAGCAGTTGTCAGCTTAGCTGTCAACAAAAGCTAGCACATGGGCACAAGTCTCTCTTTCCCCAAACACTGCCAATGTGCCCTGCAATATAGCTATGTGGACATCTGCTCAGACTGCTCAGATTGCACTCGACGCGCCAGCAGCCAGGTGAGATCAGCAGAGCTCAACTTGCCAGCGCGCCGCATGAGTCTCTGTCGCTTTTTCTCCTGCATGTGCGCCAGAATGAGTCGCGCCGCGCGCAAGTCGGAAGCACAAGCAACACAATACTGCATCAAATTTCAACAATACATGTGGATCATGCGCCGGTCGCCTCATTGCGAACCTCACGGTTCGCTTGCTGGAGCTGCCGCTTCAGGTTCTGCCGCTGTGTTTTGAGCGAAACCAGCCGATCGGCGGCTGGGTGCCTCACGACTTAAATTCATCAGGAAGTGGTTGGAGGTCTGAACCAGTCTGGTGCCAAGTATAGCCTTTCCAAAAATGATAAACATTAATGTCCAGATGCGGCCCAAACAAAATCACGTTGCTTGTGGGCGCTCCCAAACATGATCAGCGTACTATGTGCGTGCCGGCGGTGCGAACCAACAGATATATGATGGCGGGGCGCCTCGCAGCCGGAGCTGCTGCTGCTGTTGCTTCTTCATCAGCGGCTGCGTCAGACATGGCAGTCGGGAGTGTCTATATAATATATAAATATTGGGGACGAGTGCTTGAGCAACATGTACTGCCCCCACGGACGGGCACCGACGGCGCCCGACGGCGCGAATTTCCAAACCGAAAAATGGACCGTCTTCCAAGTTCAGCAGTTGCACCCCTCGAAGAATTGACTGCACGGGCACTTTTTTGCATGGTGCTTCCTCAGTCTTCACCATCATACAAACACGCATATGCGTATTTCATGCGACGGTTCTGCGGCCATATCAGCCGAACGTCCTCTGACGTTGGCTTGGATGAAGCAGGGAGACATGTAGGGTGCTCCATGAAAGATGCAAGTACAGAGTGGAGGTCGCTGGCTTTGCCACTGGCCCCAACTCCGCGGAAACATTTGGCCCAAGACTTGGAACAAAAAAATTGCCTTGGCGCCTGGCCTAATTGCCACAGCCACGCTAAAGTCGATGGCAAGCCATCAGTGGCTGTCTGCCTGTGCTCGTGGTATTTCTGGCGGAGGTATTGCTTGAAGCTGGAGAACGCATAGACGTCCAAAGGCTGGCACAGGCTAGTTGCTCCACATGGAATATATACCAGCGAAATGTTCAACTTTCTTGCAGCACGCATGACTGCCTCTGAAACGTGAGCTGGCGCCCCGTCCAAGAGCAATACCGGCCTAAATTGATGCAAAAACGGTTCTAATTCTTTTGCCACTTCTTGCAAGATTGCGATCATCAAATCACTGGTAACCCACGCACTCTTCCGGCGAAGCACTTGCAATTGGGTCTTCGGCAAGCACTTGAAGGCCTTCACTACCTTGCTGCTCAGCCTGGTGCCATTGCTCACAAGAAAGTGGGGTAGTGCTGGTTGAATTCCTGTATTTGAAGCAATAACAGCGCAGTACGTAAAAGTACCTCGCCTGCCGGCAGGCTGGATTTTGGCGTGGGGCACGGCTGGGAGGCCGGAGCCCTTGTACTGCTTGCGGTTGATCACACAACCAATAGCAGGTCGTGCAGTGTAGGGCACACTTGTTTCATCCACATTGAGATACAAAATCTCACGACCATCACAAGCCTCTGGACCACGCTGAAACGCCAGCATCTTCCAGAAGCATTTCACCTCCGAGCCATTCATTCTAATTCAAAGCACACCCTCAAAAAAGAATCCGGGGCCAAAAACTGTCCCCAAAGCTGCCTCGCAACCGAAAACAATTTTTCACAAGGCGGACCTTGTTTCAGGTCCATTTTTCGGTCCCATTTTTGGCCCCTTGGTTTGACCGGTTTGACCACCTATACTGACACCACTCGAAGCACCTTTGCCCGCAAGCTCGGTGCATCTGCTGGAATGGCCATGGGCAAGGCCGCCCTTCGGATGCCAAAGCGTTTTCGCCAACCAGCAGCCCACTTCTTGATATAGTCGCGGCTTGGGAGTACCTCCGGTAAACCGCCCGAGCGTGTCTGCGCAAAATGCGCAAAAACCTCAGCCGAAGTTGGCGCGACACCATGGAGACTGTTTTGCGAGTGGACATAGTCCACCGTCTTCACCTCTGCCACAAAGCGAACGGCCACATTTCTGGCTTTTGTCCAATCATCATCGTCGCTGTGCAGCCGCAGGAGCTCTCCAAGGTTTGTCTCTCGAAACAGAGATTGGACCAATGGTTCTGACGGAAACTGGGGGG